GGTCAGAAAGGATCCAAACTCCCTGAATGGAGGGAGGGGGAGTGAAAAATTGATCTGGCTTTGAACATCTGTCCCTCCAATTTAAAGAGGGGTGATTCTGCTTGGGGGCTGTGCACATTGAGGTATATTGAGTAGAAAGCAGGTTTCAGCGGAAGTTCAAAATGAGCTAATGTTAGACTAACTCCAAGTGAGGTTAACAACAGGAATAACACAGGGAAACCAGCTCTGGTTCACTATTGAATTTCCAGCAACTAGAGCTTCATGTGTGGTGGATGTTCAAGAACTCATGCATTTGACAAAGACGTACCGGTAACCCTCTGTATACCGGGCTCAGTTCTCGTTGCTGGAGATCCAGTAAGGGATTGACCCGACAAGAATCCCTCCCTCGGGATGCTCACACGGAGCGAATGTTGGATGAGCAGATTTTTATTGAGTGCCTCCTTAGTTACGGAGTTCAGAGCTGGTTGCGGGGTGGGGGGGGGGGTTTGCTAGGAAGAAGAAACTGTGTTCCTCAAGGAACTGACCATCTCACTGGGAAGTGAAGACACTGCCCATGGAACGAAAGAACTGTTTAGAGTTGTAACTGAATCCAGGGTGCTGATACAGACAGACCCCCATGCGGGCAGACTGGTCAGAATGGGTACTCATTTCCCGATTCCGCAGGCAGGCGGCTCTCTGCAGCAGGCTGACTTGTCTCTAGCTCCTTAAGCAGTAAGAGTTTGCAGCTGCAAAAATCAGAGTTCCCTTTGGTTCCCTTTCTCCCTTCCAGCCCGTAACCTTTTTTCATTCTTCCATCCACACGATGATTGTTTTTAAAGGGAATTATATATAAAAAAAATAATAATAATAAAGGGAAGCTTTTCTTTTGGGCTCAGGCTAGTTCCCTTACAAACTAATAGGGCAGAATTTCTAACAGTTCCTGCCTTCATGAAACAGACAGACAGCCGGGGGAGAAAGACATGAGTCAGTTATGCAAATCAAACCTCCTTAATGCTACAGGGGAGAACACAGCATATAATAATGAGATTTGACCTTGTCAGGGAAGTTAGGGACAGCTTCTTAGAAGAAAAGACGGCTGTACTGGAATCTCAAGGATGAGGAGGGACTAACCAGGGGAAGGGAGAGGGGAAACATTCCAAGCAGAGGGAATAGCATAAGCAAAGGCCCTGTGGCCAGAGGGAATTTGCTGTTGGGACAGAGGGAACCAGAGGTGGCTGGAAGGGAGACGACTCAGAAGAAGGTAGATTGGGCAGATCATAATAGGCCATCAGGCATATTAAGGAGTTTCTTATTTATTCCAAGAGTAATAGGAAGCCCTTAAAAGAATAATCAATAGAGAAGAGGGAGGGGGATGGGTTACACTCAGATTTTCATTTCAGCAGGGTAACTGCCTGTAGTGTGATCCGCATTTGCTAGGGGGACTAGTCAGTGTGGGGAGCATTAGGAAGAAGGCACTTGTTAAGAATCTAGATGAGGTGATAATTAATTACTTGGACCAGAATGGTGGCCCTGAGCCGAGGCAGGCAGAGACTAAAAGAAGTAGACAAATGTAGCAGGTACAAAATAGTCAGTACACAAGTACAACAGGGAGGAGCAACAGGGCTTGGTGATGGATGTAAGGGATGAGGGCGAGGGAGGTACCCGGAGTGAGTTTCAGGTCTCTGGCTTGTGCACAGGCGCCTTGGACGAGGACCGGTTCACTGGGGGGAAATTACCGAGTCAGCTTTGAACGTGTTGGGTTGAGTGCTTTTGTGGCATCTAGAGGGAAATGTCAGAAATTCGGTTGGAAAGGGGCGCCTGGGTGGCTCAGTCTGTTGGGCATCTGCCTTCGGCTCAGGTCATGATCCCGGGGTCCTGGGCTGAAGCCCCACATCAGGCTCTGTGCTCAGCGGGGAGCCTGCCTCTCCCTCTCCCTCTGCCTGACGCTCCCCCTGCTTGTGTGCTCGCTCTCTCTCTCTCCCTGTCAAATAAATAAATAAATAAAATCTTAAAAAAAAAAAAGAAACGCAGTTGGATAAATGGGTACGCGGCTTGGAGGAGAAGTCTGACACGGAGGTTGACGTTCGCAGGTCACCTGTGCCGAGCGAGGTGCATTAGACACTGTGGGTGTGGATGAGACTGCTCAGCCAGGACAGAGTGAGGAAGGGGGGGCCCTAGAGCCCCCTGATGGCTGGGGAGAGAAGCCCGCACGAGCAGGCCCAAGACCACCTGCCCGAGACATGGGGAGGAAACTGGCCTGAGAGCCAAGGGAGCCAAGTGTTTTTTGGAAGAGGAAGTGCTCCGGGGGAAAATACTGCTAAAAGGACGGGAAGGGAAGACTTGGTGATGGTAGCAGCTCTATGCCATCGGTGACAATAGGATGAGGCCACCTTCCCGGAGCACCCGTTTCGAACCTGGCACTTTGACATATAGTATCATCCCCATAAGACATCTGTAAGGCAGGTCCTCTATCATCCGCTTTTTACAGATGAGAAAACCGAGCACAGGGAGGAAGCCATTTGCCTGAGCTCACCTAGCCAGTAAGTGACAGAGTTCGGTGGGAGCCCTTCTTTGTCACTCCACAGACCCTGTTCTTAAATGCTGTGTGTCTAGGGTTGGTGGGATCAAAAGCAGCCGGGGAGCACAGGAGGGTGTAGAGAAGCGAGGTTTTCTCCTCTGGAAAGCCTTGGATTCCTTCAAACAGAGCCGAGGAAAGACGGCATTGTTGCTGAGGCCCACGTCCAGCTGGGCCACACGACAGGGCATCCCAGAGGCCATCTGATGCTGTGGCTCAGCTAGATCGGGGCAGTGCTGGGTGCACGCTGCAGCTGCCCTTTGGCCCCCAGCGTTCTGGGGCCGTGGTTCTCAGTGGGGCCAGAGAGGCCGATGCTCCGATTCACCACCCCGGGGCTTCCGAATCGAAAACTCGGGGGTGAGGGGCGGAATCCGTGTTCTCACAAGTCTTCATGTGATTCCGATGCACAAGCTGGAGAACCCGTGTTCTTGGGAGATCCTTGCAAACAGAAGAAGGAAAATTTAAATGATTTCTAATCCATGTATCTCTCGGACACCAAACACCTTGGCAGAACCCAAATGGAAGCGTGGTTCTGAACCCGGGCTGCACACTGCAGTCCCATGGGGAGCTTTGTGCACGACCGATGCCTGAGGCCCACCCTCAGAAATTTTGGTCTCATGGGGCTGGGGTCAGCCTGAGCATTCGGTTTTTGTAATGAGGATTTGAATGGGGAATGGGTGATTGAGGGAATGGCTGACAAGGCAGCCTATGTACTTTTGAGTCCAGAATCGTACTCTGGGGAGAAAACGGGGCAGACCTTTAAGGGGAAGGAAGACAAATGGAAGAGAAGGTAGACCGTAGGCCCTTTGTGAGTATCAGTATAGCTTGAATAATTTGGGAGACTGTCGGGCAGAAGGTAGTCTGAATTCGTAACAGTTCTTAACGATGGACTTATTTTCAAAGCAATGCCAATAATAAATATGCTATCACAGCTGCTTCATGAATAAAGAAGGAGCATGATCACCTCCTCCTGGCAGCTTCACTTAGACTCTGTCTATACGTTAAGAATGTGTTCACCCCTCTGGCCTCCCCAGCGTTCCTTCCTCCCCCGCTGACCTGCTCAGCCCCCACCCTCGGCATTCTCACCCTGTCCCCAAATCCTGGGATTTGTTCCTGCCCCCCACCCCCGCCTCCTTGTTGTCTCAGGCCCTAGCTCTGTCCAGAATCGTCCGTGGCCCCCAGTTTAGAGAGCCCACCTTTCTCTTGCTCGTTCATCTTTAAGACACTCTGCTCCTGTTTTGTTTCCTTCTCATTCTGCCCATTTCCCCTTCACCACCCTTGGCTCCTAAGTTCTGCAGGGGACAGTGCTGGCTTGCCATTCTTTGCCTCCCGCCCAGCACAGCACCCCACACCTTACAGGCTTGGGAAATAGTAGTCAGAAAGCTGCAAAAGTGAATTTCCATCTGTCTCCTTCACACATTGGCACTGAGTGAAGATAAAGAAGGCCCCTCCTCCGATGAGGTATGAGTGTGGTTGGGTCATTCGGAGGCCACCTTGAGGAAAGAAGCCATAGGAAATTCCCAAGATGGGTATCCCAGTAGGAACATCCTCCAGAGTGAAAAGTGTCCCACAGAAGGGGCCCTCGCAGCCTCAATAGCCCGTGGGACCTTGTAGTACTTTCTCAGGGCTGCCTTCACATATTACCACCAGGTGGGGGCTTAAAACAATCTGAATCTATTCTCTCATTGTTCTGGAGACCAGAAGCCTGGAACCAGTGTCACTGGGCTGAAATCAAGGTGTCCATAGGGCCCTGCTCTCTCCCCAGGCCCTCAGGGGAGAGTCCATCCTTGCCTCTTCCAGCTTCTGGTAGCCGCCATGTTCTTTGGCTTGTGGCCACAGCACAGTCTCTGCCTCTGTGGCCACATTGCCCTCTTCCTGCTTCTCAAATCTCCCCCCTGCCTTTCTCTTATAAGGACACCTGTGATTGCTTTGAGGGCCCACCCTGGTGATCCAGAATAACTTGCCATCTCAAGATCCTTACTGTAATCACATCTGCAAAGTTCTTTTTTGCTGTCTCAGGTAACACTTGCACGTAAAGGGATTAGGACATAGATATCTGGTGGGGAGCCATTATCCAACCTCCCGCACATATAAAGGTAGCTGGAGCCTCCAAAGGGACAGCGACTTGTCCAAGGAAACACTTCAGGGTTGTCACAGAAATCAAAGACCCAGGTCTCCTTTCTGTCCGTTTTGGGCTTCCTCCACTAAGCTAAACTGATGTTCATAAAAGTAAAACAGAGAAAGAGATTTAAAATAATACGTCATACCCTAATCCGTGTGCTGTCTGGATTATCTGTCTTCTGTCTTCTGTCTGGATTTCGTGCTACCAGGATTCATCCATCTCTGCACCTTCTTCCCCCTTGGATTCGGGCTCAGGAGATGCTCTCTGGCCCGTGTGGAAGCAGCAGTGGAGTTACCTAAATGGCATTTTCTGCTCTCCTTTCAGGACCGCCTCTTTTTCGTCATGGAGTATGTAAATGGTGGCGACCTTATGTTCCAGATTCAGCGCTCCCGAAAATTTGACGAGCCTCGTTCCCGGTTCTATGCTGCAGAGGTTACGTCAGCCCTCATGTTCCTCCACCAACATGGAGTCATCTACAGGTAGCTCTTCCCTCCTCCTGCCTTTCGTGAAAGCGAAAAAATAAAGAATTCTCCAGACACTTGAACTGACTTTGGCTCCCGCCCAACTGGTCTCTTAGCAACCCGCTTTAGATGAGTTGTTTGTTCTAATTTGCTCGCAGAGGACTTTTTTGGGGGCTGTTTATCACTGTGAATGTTAATATTTGAATAGCCTCAGGAGATCTGACCCACCGTTTGTGCCAGTTTTGATTGAAAGCCCAAGCACAACATTTTAAAGGCTTGGCGCCGAGCGACCTTGGAGTGACCTTCATTTCTCTCCCTCCCCACCCTCTTCCTTCAACATCAGGGCATTCTCTTTACTTTTTCCTTCTGTGCCATGAACTTCCTCCCCTTCCCAACCTCTTGCCACTTCCTGAGTTTGTTTGGCTTTGTTGTCTCCAGCAGATAGAATCAGGAGGAGGAGGAGTTGCTTGGGGGTCTCTGGGTTTATGATTCGAGGAGGAGGAGGGGAAGGGAGCTAGACAATATCCAACAGGAAGTTACTGCAGATCATCCAGTCCCTCACTGCCGCCCTGTCCCCCTTCCAAGAAAACATAGAACACACACACACACACACGCACACTCACACACTCACACACTAATTTTCCAGTAAGGGAGCAGGGCTATTTACGCAGGCTCTTCTGTGAGGTCAGGAGTTCTGGGAGGAGTAAATATTTATAATTAGCAACAAGGACACTAAAGTTCCTTGAGGTTTTCTCAATGACTGTCAGTTTCTTGACTTGGTTTTTGCCGCCGCCCTCCGCCCCCCACCTTTTTTCAATTGGGTAGAAGAATAGCTAGCTGGGTTCAACCCAGAACTTAGTCACTAGAACCTTCCTGACCCTCTCCTGGGAGCAGTGTTCTGACTAAATGCTCGTTGAGGGGTTCTGACCAACCCTCACCCCAGACTTCCTTTTTACTGACGACTCTTAATTTCCTCAAATATGCGTCTCTCTGCTCAAAAAGAGTCAGTACCTCCCCCCCAGCCTACAAAATAAAGCTCGAACTTTTCAGCCTGCCGGTCATGGTGCACCACACTGTGAGTCCCTGTATTGGCTTCCTCTTGCTGCGTAACAAAATACCACAGACTTAGGGGCTTCAGACAGCACCCACTTATTATCCCCCCGTTTCCGTGGTCCTGGAGTTCAGGCACGGTGCACCCTGGCCCTCGGCTTGGGGTCTCTCTGCTGTGATCAGGGTGTCAGGCCGTATGCTTGTCTAAAGTTTGGGGTCCTTCTCTGAGCTCACACACTGGTAGGCAGAACTCAGTTCCTTGCAGCATGTGGCTGGCTTCTTCAAGGCCAGCCGCAGAGAAAGCCTTTCCTGCTTGGAGTCTCTAACTCCAGGGACGGCTTGGACCGTCTTTTTATAGGATCACTTGATTAGATTAGGCCTGCCTGGGACAATCCCCCTTTTGTTTAACTCATGATTAGGGACCTTTATTATATCTGCACAATTACTTTGCCCTGTAATGTCACATTATCGTGATAGGGACATGACATTGCCTTTTCCACCTTCTTTTGGTTAGAGGAAGTCCCGGCTTCCACCATACTCAGGGAGGGACTATGGGATTATAGCAGAGTGGGACTCACTGGGGCTCTGCTTAGGTTGTGTCTGCTACATCCTGGTACCCCTTTCTCTCTGCAGTCCCCGTAGCACCTTGTTTTGAACCCACCAAGGTTCTCAGCTTTTCTCAAACCCACCTGCCAATTCCCAGCTAGCCTGTGCTCATGCCCTCCTCAGACAGAGGCCTCACACAGTACTGCCTGCCCACACAAAGCCTGGTCCCACCAGCCAGAGCAAGTTTCTCCATCACCCACGCTTCCGTCTGCAATTCGGGAATGAATGGGACCTGAGACTTTTGTTGCTGTGCCTACCACTGTCCACCTTGTGTTAGTTAGCGTTAGGCGTTGCTATGGATCCTTCACTAAGTTGCAAATGCCCTTAAGGACCATTTATTTACATATCTATTTTTTGTAAACCCCTCCATCATCTTGTTTTACACGCTCTTCTTGTCTTACACATAGTAAATAGTCAACAAATGACCACTGACTTCAATTAGTTTAAAACCCTAATCTCTGCTTCCAAAGCAGCTCACAAGCCCGTTGGAGATACAAGAGTTAGGTGTAGGAAGAGCTCAGCCATACTACAAGGCAGTACACTGTTAGGTGCCGATGACAGAAGAAGGACGGCCATCCTCTGAGACATCATTCCCCATTCCATCCCTATTACAGTGGGTATAACCATCCAGCATACTGGCAGGGATTCAGAGAGTTCCCTTAAGTAGCTTGCCCAAGGCCCTACTCGGTCAGTGGCAGACCTAGGAAGCCTAAGTGATTGATCAGCAAGCTCATGCTGTACACCAGGACATCTGTCACCCCGCCTTCTCAAGTTCAAGTCCAAACTCTTTGGCTTGTCATCCCAGGTACTCCAAAATTCGCTTCTCCCTTACATGTCTACTTCTCCCCTTTCCACTTCCCTCTCATCACACCTGTGAACACTTTTGTTCTGTTGGCTTCTATGAGCCACACTTTCCCCTCCCTCCCACACACATTCCTTCCCACCTCCTGACCATTCCTTCTCAGTCTGTGTATGGCCTGGCCTAGCTGTAGCTCTCCTCCAACCTCCATTCTCTAAATGCTGGTTTTCCCCAGGGCCTTCATCCCTCCTGCCTCCTACCCTAAAAGTCCAACACGTGCGTGCTTTCAAATGACTCCTGTGAACCAGTGACCCTCTGTCACTACATCCAGCCCCCCAGTTATCCCCAGAACCCAAACAAGCTCTCTCCCCCAAGCCTCTCTCTCAAGACATGACCTCGGGGCCTTGTGCCTTCTTCCCAGGTGAATTTGCAGTCTTTGACAGACTTGACTCTTTCACTGCCTCTCGGTTCCCTGCCCTCCTGTCTGCCCTCCCCCTCCACTGCTGCCCGCCATTCTTTGAAAGCACACGGTTGTCACACGCTCCCTTTTTAGCCTCCTTCAGACTCGCGCGTGCCCCAGGCCTGCCATGCACAGCTGTGTGGTCTGGGCACAGTGCAAGAGCCAAGGGCGCAAGCAGTGAGTGGTGGATGGCATCTAGGCCGGCTCTGCTGGTGTGGCTGGCTTCAGCCCAGGGAAGGGGTGCTTTTTCTACCCAGAGGAGATGGCTTATTGTGTCTCTCACAAAGACACCGTCTGTGCACACGGGGCTCTGGTGGCCCCCAATGATCTTGTGCCCCTTAACGCTGTTCCCTCCAACCATATATCCCACCCTCTAGGTGCTCCAAATTATTTGCCATTCTGCCCCCAATGCCATTCTTTTTCATTTCTCGGAGCCTTTGTCCCCCCATCCTTGGAAATCCCTTTCTCCTAATCTGTGTCTTGATCAATGAGTGGTTCCCAGTTCACATCCATGTTCTGACTGCCTCAGAGTCCCTGGTTTAAAAGGTACAGAGATTCCATAATACTGGAGGAGGGGAAATGGATAAGGATATTGGTGAGAGAGAAAACAGCCCTGAGTTTATGATTGCTGAGGCTACGTGATGCCCACGTGGGAGGGGGGGTCCACTGTCCTATCTACTGTTGTATGTGTTTGAAGTTTACCATAATTATAATATCTTTTCTTAAAAAAGAATAGCAATTCCAGGGTAACATTCTAGAATTTTTGATTCAGTATGTCTGGAGTGGGGTTCAGGAATCTATATTTTTTTAAAGTATTCCTCGGGTGACTTGGGGACCAGAGATGGAGAAAAATTCTATTCTGCCTCTGGGACTGTGTCAAGCACCCCCGCTGATGTGAGGCTCTCCCGACCACCCAGCCTGTCCTGGGGATCATGCCTTCCCTCTGTACCAGGCATTTAGCAGGTTCCCTTTGCAAATCTTAATGTTTTTACTTAAGATACCTCTTCTGTGATTGAGAACTCTGCACAGGAGTGCTTATCTGGTTGGCCTAGAACAATAGCCTGCTTATAGTAGGTGTTCACTAAATGTTTGTTCTTCTAGTCTCTAATGCTCCAGAGCCTTCCAATCTAGTGGGTTGCTCCCTCCTAGGTGTGTACTTCTTAAAAGTCTGTGTTGGAAGCATTCCTAACTCCTTGACCCTAAAAGGCCCCCAATTTCTTCATAGCTCTCATTTTATGGGTTAATGAGGATGCTAGGATCTCTGTTTCCCATGTTGCTTTGTGTTAGGCTGCCGAAAAAGAGGATGAAGGGCAGTGTGTGTACAGGGGGCTGGGGAGGCCCGGAGTGTGTCTCCACCTCTTTGCCTCTGGCTATTCTGAAGCCCGGCCAGAGACCATGCTTTGTGCGATACAGGGGTTTATTTGGGAGATTGGCAAGGCCAGGTTTTGGAGGAGGAAGCTGATTGCTGGAGTGGAGATGGAATTTTCGGCCTTCCTGCTGGAATTTATACACACGCTAATTAGCAGCTAACTGGCCAGTGTTCAAGAATGAAGGAAAGAAGTCATTTCTCTGGCTGGTGGCTCACACTTTAAGGAAATCCCACACTGACAGGCAGGGCCCCCTTTCTTCTGGTCCTTGTCTGAGTCAGGTTCCAGCACCAGGCAGCCCAGGGTACCGTCTCTCTGTCCCCTGCCCGGTGTTCCTAGAATCCTCTGTGTGTTGTGGCAGACGCTGGCCCCGTGTGTCCACTGCGTGTCCAGCCATGGCTTAAATAAAAAGACCTCTTCCTCTCCTTTACCCGCCCTTCCCTCCCCCGCCACCAGACACAGTGAGAGGTAGAGGTTTTGAAGGGTGTAGGCCTCCGTTAAGAGTGGGTTCAGAGAACTTTCTCTTCCTCTACACCAGGCTCGCTGCCTGTCCATTTTCCCCTGAGACGCTCGGTTGGAGCAGCTGACTCTTCGAGAGCACCCCTCTCTCTGTGCAACACGAGACAGAGAGATGGTGTGAGCCGCCTCAGACAGAGAGGACAGCCGGGGGCCCTTAGGAAGATGAGCAAAGCCTTGGCAGTCAGGAATGTATCTTTGTATTCTTTCAGAGTTCAGA